TGGAATAAATATAAAAATAAAACTATCGACCACTTAACTTATATCAAAAATATTGGAAATAAATTCCATCATACAAATTTAATTTGAAATAATAATAATTATGACGATACTTTTTCATATTAATTGTAGTATATTTTTGTATTTATATTTTATGTTATTTATTATTATTTATTTATATTTTTATATTGACTAATGATGTTATAACGATTTATATAACACACATCATACACACACACACACACACATACATTTTTAATCACGCCTGTTTAAAAGTTTGAAACAGACAGTCCTAAGCCTGTTAAAGTGAAAAGGTAAATGTGCGCAAACGAGTTATAGCCATGTAATATATTATACTTTTGACGATTCACACAATATTCTGTGTTAAGTTAATGTGAAGAGTATAAAAAAGGTTCCTTTTGGTTTTTTTCCTATTATCGTCCCAGCCTTATGGTTATGGGTATTATAGTAAGTATGAGACGGCGGCTGTGGTGGCAAATTTAGCGGAGCAAAATAACAAAAAATATGAACATGGATCGTTGAGGCGAACTGGACGTCTGGAGGTCTGGACTCTTGGCCCTCAATCAAAAATTGATTAGCTCTAATATAATTCCAGGAATATGTGTCATGTATGCATAGACTGCGGTAATGACTAATAATTACTACATCTCAAACGGGTACCCGCATATTAAAAATCTATTTGTTTTTAATTATTATTATTATTATTAATTTTGTTATCATTTGTGATTATTGTAAATATTACACGAATAACGAATAATTCACATAAAACATTTGGGATGAAGCTTACAACGATGAATATAAAAGTTCATGCTTTCGATCTAGTTATTATTATTAACATCGACAAATTAAAATTAAACATTTTTGTAGTTTGTAATATTATGTACTGACGAGTGGAAGATTCATTCAGCGAAAGTGGCGTATTTACTGGGGGAGGGGTGGTCGGTCCCCGACCTCCCCCAGAAAAAAAAAATGTTAAAAAGTCATAAATAACTTGATACGCRGGTACTGAGAAAGATTATTTTATATTATGTGTTTTTAATGTTTTTATTACAATCTTTCTATAAATAACTTGGGTTTAACTTATGATTATTTTTGTCGCGTCGTCGCCGTCCGACAAAATTGAAAATACGTTACTGAAGCTAATATTTTTGAAAATATTTTTTTTACATTATTTTAAGTCATTGAAAAAAACATTTTTTTTTTAATCTTTATCCTCTTTAATTTAATTTAATTATTTTTCGTTTAATGACATCATGGTAATGTATTAATTATATTCCTTATTCCAAAGCAGAATACTTTTAAGAGTAGGTACTACTAACTACTTCAATGTATAAGAGTTTAATTTTGGACGGAGAGTATTATAGGGATAGTTATATCTTATATCTTTAAAATAATATTTATTACTTGCTATAAATTATAACCAGTTATACACTTTTCTTAAATTTGATTTTATAGATCAAAATACTATATTATTTATCAATGAAATTAAAAATGTATGTTGTCATTTAATGGTGTAAAAATTTAAGAAATTTTAACGATAACAAATTGTAAAAAATATAATTTATT